AAGCAGGCTTCCTCATTGCTCACACAGGGGTCCCTGCATTGTCGACACCACACACCGGGCCTGGGGCTGCCCTAGCTGGGGCCCCCACTCTTACAACTGCCACTAACCCAGCCCCGGCCAGCACAGCTTCCCCCGGGGGCTCCACTGCCAGGTCACATGCTCCTGAGCTTTGGGTCTGGAATCCACTCATCCTGACTTCCTCCAAATGGAGCAGTGATTGCTGGGAACCTTTGAGGAAAGACAGGCTGTGGGCTGTGGTTAGAGCCCAGGCTGTCCACCATCTGGCTGTGATTCCTGCCAAGCAGATGGAGACAATGACCCGTGGGTGGGATGGGAGTGGAGGGAGAGGTCAGGGGTGAAAAGAGAAGTCCTGGGTCCGGCAACTGTGAATGCCCCAGCACAGACAAATCCCGCAGCGTCTGGTCTCCACATAGGCACATGGAAAGTTCCCTATGTACGCCCTTTGGGGGTGCAACGGCAAATCTGCCAGAATCTAGGACCCAACATGTTTTCTGGTTTCCCACAGGTCCTTAGACTTCCACCGTCAAACACATGCCCAAGAATGTTCACTGCAGTATGTATTCCTAATTGAGGAGAATGAGATGTTCTAGAGAAGACCTGGAGCAGCTTGGTCTGAGATAACAAAGGACTGCACCGAGGACTTCAATAACAGAAATGCATTCTCTCACCACTCTCGAGGCTGGATGTCCAAGATCCAGGTGTTGGAAGGGTTGGGTTCTTCCAAGGCCTCTCTCCTTGGCTTGTAGATGGCCATCGTCTTCCCGTTCCTCTGTGTATCTCTGCTGTGGTTACAAAGAACGAGGGGCAAGGATGGGATGACGGGGACTTTATTTACTTGTGTATGTCTGTATGTGTGGCAGATTGGATTATCCTCAATTCTTCACTCTCTGCCTTGCCCTGGCTTTGCAGCCTCTCCCAGTGTGGGCCAAGTATATTTCCCTGCCCCATGGATGTTGAGCTTGCCCAGGTGACTTGGTCTGGCCAATGAATTTAGATGGAGGTAGCAGAGTGGAAGCCTTAAATGTGCTTCCTTGGCATAGTTTGGTCTCTTGGGCTGTGTGACCTTCAGTGAGAGATAGACCCTGGAAATGGCTGGTCGCAGGGAATGTGAGCATGATGAGCAGAGCTGACCCACTCAGCTAGTGCTAGCTCAGTGACCC